AGCAGCCCACTCCCGAGATTGCCGAAGTCGCCCCTCCAGATCTTCTTCTAATTCCTCCCTTCCCTCACCCTTCATCCCCGCCAAGTCCTCCATGCCCGGCAGGTTCGTGAGCAAGGTAGTGGGCTTCCTCCTTTGGTGTCCGCAAGCTCCCTGATCCAAATCCACCATCTTCATGTTCCTCTCCCGTCCGAACTCAATGATCTCCGGGAAATTCCAGAACGAGGGGATGGATCCCGCCCTCGGTTCCTTAACATACTTCATGGGGTCCATCGGGCTCTCTTGCAAAAACCCGATGTCAGGCATCCACGGAGGCTTGTTCTCCATCGCCTTGAGCCACAGCCCGACCTGCTTGAAGAACAGCGCCGTGTCTCCATCGACCTTCTGTTGGTTCTCTGCACTGATTCCCGGGAGGCCGAACCGAAGATCGTCACGTCCGCGTAGAGGAGGAGGCCCTGGCTGGATGTGCCGTAATCGTGAGACTGTTCGGCACGGAGGTCCTCCGATCACTGCCTTGATCAGACCCATCTCCGCTAGTTTCCACAGATAGCCCCACAGGGCCGGGTTGTGCAGATCCTGCCGCGAATCCTCTTGCACGTCCACCGTGATGACCTCGAAGCCTTCCAGGCCCGTCTTTCTCCACTGCCTTCCATCCTTGCCCGAGAACAAGTGGATCACTACTCCCCGGCCAGACTCCCAACGTCGTCGAAGTCTCCGGTTGAATGGACACCTGCCATTTGTCTCGCCCTCGTCCGTGACCCGCATCATGTAGGCCAACACCCGCTTTGGTAGCTCTGGAAACCTCGACCTCCACCATTCTTCATCGTTGGTTGCCCATTCCGATGCTCCGGCCGAGTCCAAGAAGTCCAGGAGCTTCATCGCTGCCTTCCGTTCCATAACTGGACAGCCCGATCTCAACCAGCAGTCCAATCGTCCCAGCCGGCGGTGCTCAATACGGCATCCCTTGGCTGTCCAATTGATCACGAAACCAGCCTCCACCAACGTCCTCAATGGCACTATTGGCTCCACCGGTTCCTTCGTCAGCAGGGCGATCGTGTCCTTGTGCTTATACATCACCGCCGTGCCACACGCCAACTCCACCTCGCACTCCACCAGCCCGTTTAATTCCTCCGGGCGCGCCTGACGAAGCGGATGCGTAGCCCCACCATCGAGCAACGCCAACTCCTGATCCGCGTCTGCTTCACCATAACAGATCTGCTTCACCTTGAACTTGGCCGCTCTCATCGTTTTGAGGAGGCCCGTCACTTCCTTAATCAAGTCCTCCCCCGAACCTGCTGCTGTGCTGCTGTTGACCGTTGGTTTAGTAGCCCCCACCGATGCCTTGGCGCCTCCTGTGACCGTCTCCTTGGGAGGTTCCGGGACACCGCTCGTGGCTTCTCTGAGGCCTTCCGCAGCTTTCTTTCCGTCTTCCTCTCTTCCTTTAACCATCTTGGACGCCGCAACCTTGGGTGCCGCAGGATCCTTCACCTTGATGGGGCAGTCCTTTTTCGCATGCCCAACACCCGAGCACTGAAAGCAGCGGTTCGTCTTCGTGATGCCCTCCCATGAGTGCGCAAAACTACAGCCGCTGCCCCGTCTGCAACCTTCCTCAGTACCCCAGAACCGACAAGGCATACTCGAAGTCTTTTTCTTGTCGAAGCCTCCGGGTTTGCCGTCCTGGTACTTCTGATCCGCAAACGCCTTGAGCACCGGGTTCGCTGGTGCATTGGCACTGGGAGCCGGAGGTGGACTTGCCGTAGGAGTTTTAGCCGATGACGCCAAAGCCAGCTCTTCCGACTCTGCCTGCAGAAACTCCGCGTAGAGCTTTATGTACTCCAGATCCGGCCTTACGTCAACCATCAATTCTTGTCTGACCGATGCAATCCTGAAGCCAACCTGGCCGTTGCCCTTGCTGATGACCTCTCCGACCTTGTTGAGCACCGCCATGAGAACCAGGCCATCTGGCAGCGCCAGACCCAGCTCCTCCGCTCTGCTCAACCATCTCCTCCACTGCCTCAGCGTTTGCAGCGCCTCCGCATTGGACGTTCCAATCTTGTGGTCCGCCAGGTTCTTCAAAAGGGTCCCACGTTCCGATTGGCCACCTGGTTGGTAGATCTGGTACAGGCGAAACATCACGTTGATCGATGACATTCTCCTTGACGATATGATATCCCGACGTATCCCGTCGGGCACGGCCGCCAAGAGCATAGAGACGCCCCTCTGCTCCACCCGGAAGTTGTGCTCCGCACCCAGATCCAATTCAGGTAGTAGCCGAATCTTCTCCAGGGGAGTTGCCACCAACCATCTCGCGTAGGCCTGTTCCGCTTGCTCCACTACCTTTCTCCACCAGGTCCTTGCCGATCCAGCGATGTCCGACATCAGGGGGTTGATCACCGTCACCCAATCACCAAACTGCAATGACGCCATGTCGCCCCCAGGAGGTGGTAACGCCGGGAGCTCTAAGTTCCTCAACGCCTCCGTCATGTTGGCTGCCGTCCGCAAAGCACTGTCCTCTGGTGGCATCCCTCTCGGTGGAGGGGGTGGTGGTGGCGGAGGAGGAATCGGGTCGCTCTGAGCCGTGCGGAAGGACGCTTCGTCACTGTAGCTCCCCCCAGCTTGGTTCAGTCTATTCAGCTCCAGCTGAAATGCTTCCTCGGCTTCCTTCATGATCCTCCGCCTGAGGCCATCCACATCCACTGTTTGTTGAGACCTCCCTTGAGACCCTGGCTCAGGTCGCTGCGGCGATCCCACGAAACCTCCCTGACTTTCAGCAACGGGCATCCCAGCCGCGATGGCTCTCCTCTGAACCTCGGGGCTCCAAAACGGGTTGACCTGTGGCGGTTGTTGCAGCGGCTCACCATTACCTCCGCGATTATCCCAACCTTGCCATTGAGCTTCCGCTGCAGGAGGTACCCACTGCCACCCTCCAGCAGCACCAGCAACTCCTTCCGGACGACGTCCTCGACCCGCCGATCCATTTCCTCTTTGTTCTTGATCCGGACCATGTTCATCAACAGGCCAAAGGGTCAAAGGCCTCACCTGGCCATACGTTCCCCCACGACCTCCATCGTCTTGCCATCCTTGATCTCCAGGTCCGGGCCGTTGCCCTTCTCCCGGATGATGACCTTGCCGTAGAGCACCTTCACCTACCAGGTCTGGGTCCTTCCACCGGATTCACCACCAGTCCTGGAGCCCCCTGACCTCCTGGCCCTTGAGCAATCCCAGGGGGTGGAGGTATCCCATCACGCGATCCTGCGCTCCCCATCCTCGCGGTCTCATCTCCAGCATCGGTCAGCCTCCTAAGTCCTGGTCCCGACGTTGGTGGTGGCACCGATCTTGATCTCCTGAGAGCTCCGCGCCTGAGGTCCTCCACGATCAGCCTATCCAAGGCCTGGTCCGCCGTCTCGCCCGCCTGGACCAACTGGTCTTGCCCTTGTCGACCTTCTGAATGATCACCTTGCCCTCCCGCGTGACCTCCAGCTCCGATAGCAGGCCGCCTTCGACGAAGCAGGTCCATCAGAGCTCCTTTGGGCTCATAACCTACGAAACACAAAAACCAAAAAGGGGTCCAAATGCACAGCTCAGCGCTGCACACTTTTTCTTGAGCCAACGTGTGACGGGTCGAGTGGGTTTACTTCACAATCCACAGAGACAAAGGAAAGCCGTTGAAATTTTGCAAAAGAGGCTTTTTCAGTTTTTTGGAGCCTTGCATGTTGCTCACATGGCTATTGCGTCTTGGTTTCAGTCAGTGTGGACCAAATAACATAATCTTACATTTGGAGGGGCATGCTTCAGATTGGGCAAGCCATACACTTGGGGTCCTATATTGTGCTCCACTCATTTTGGTAACCGCACTGATCCAGGAGTGAAACGAGCCTGGAGGGGTCATGATGGGGTTCCCTTGCTAAACACAATCAAAACCGGGTAGATGAAGGTTAGTAAGGGGCAGTCCCGCCTTCATAATTCTGTACATGGTTCTGGGTAGACCATTTTAATACCTGGTTTTGATTGTGACTCAAATGTGGAAGTGTGCAGACTAAATCATTACAGGTTAGCTACTAATAGGTAATAAGGACCAGTACTTGAACGCGACATTTCTCTGCATTTGGGCGAATTCTCTGAGGTAGCATGCGCTGAGCATGGTAGATTTTGTTTTCTTGGTCCCATGGGTAGGATGTGGATGTGCGGCGGGGGTCCTGGAATTCCATTGAAATGGAACATTGGTCGGAGGCCTTCATGTTTATCCTGAAACATCAAAACATTGCAACGTAAAGCTCCTTTTGCGGCGAATGGCAACGCGTGGCCACACCCCAAGTTGTGAACCAAGTCGTGAAGCCTCGGGCATTTGCTCGGTTTTACACTTGTTTGCTTTGGCTTTCGAATGGATCCATCGCCATCGCTGTATAGTTTGACTGTGACCAATCAAACGTGGAGTGCCAAGTGGCAAATTAGCCACTGTTTGCACTGTTTACTTGCAGCTCAAGCATTTGCAAGACGTCAGGTCAGGCTGCTCCTTGTGCGAACCATGGGCTTTAAATGTGACCAAAGCAGGGCATCCCTGAATGGGTGGTTTACTGTCGGACTTCTTTTTGGAAATCGGGGCCCCAAACCGCAACTCCGAGCTGCCACTGGGTTCCCCGCGACAAGTGGACCATGAATGTAAACAAAAAGTCCCCCAAGGATGGCACACCGGGCAACATGGCACTGAGTTTCGACACAGATCTTGGCGTCAGTCGCACGTGTTTTGGGGCGACTTGAGGTTGGGTCAGAATCTCCTGTAGTCTGTGGTCTATATGTGGGAGTCCACCAAATCCGGAGTCACTGAGTTTCCCACGTGGGCGTGTCCTTTTGTGCCGGTACCCTTTGAAAAACTTTGGCTTAGTGCTTTGAAGGGAAACCACCAGGAACACCATTTTGGGGGTAGCCGGGTAGCCTCAAAAAAACACGAGCCACCCATGTGGGAGGGTACACCGAGAGTCACCGATCTGTCCCCACGACCTTAGGCCACGAGGCTTCGCGTGGATGGCATCCCTGACGCCCTTCGGGCACCTGCCAGCCGGCCAAGAGGGGAGACCGGCGGCCGGCGGCCGGCCCCCGAAGAAGTGGAGGGCTGGTATTCGTGTTTTTGGCACGGTGGCTCCCCTTTACACCAATCCCCCAATCCCAAAGGGCAAAGTAAGTACACAAGTGTCTCTCTTATGAACCTGACTTAATTTGATTTCAAAGTACCCCACGAGCCAATTCCAATTATTTAGGCCCTTATGTCGCACAGAAAGACACGCCCGGGCTCGTTTGAAGAATCTTTGAGGATCCTGACATCCCTTTTGTTTGGATTTTCGCGTTTCGAAGTCTTCGAGTTTCAAAAGGTCAATAGGTGCTTCAACGAGGACTTGGGGGCGGAACGTTGCGGAATCTCCTGTGGCCGAACGATGTGCTGACCTCAACGCGTCGGGTTTTTTTTTGTCGCAGTTTGGGAAACACCCAATCGGCCGACTGGTTAGCGATCGGCCGACTGGTTGGTGACTGGTTGGTTGGGGCGGTCTTTGTGCTTTCTTGGCGTGAGGGTGCACTCCCCGTCCAGAATTGCTCGCGAACACAACGCACCCAGCTTCACCCCAACCTGCAAGCCAAACGTTGCGCCCTGAGTCCAAATCCCAAGTTTGTTGTAGGCCGTGTTGGCCAACCAACGCCTTTGGGGCAGGGGAAGCACAAAACATTGTGCTGTTGACGTCGCGATGTGATTCAAGATTTTGTAGGCCGTTGCCAACTTAAATGTCTTTGGCAGGGAAACACAACACCTTGTGTGCTGTTTCGTGCGTCAAGGAGGCCGCAAAGCATCCAATCACTTTCTACAACCACCCGCAAGTCAACCGCTATTGCTTTTTGACCAGGGCCGCAACGGCACGCGTGAAGTGTGAAATGCGAGCAATATATGAACACTTGCAATGGTGAGCATTGCAAGCAGCGCAAACAACCGGAACCGCAATGACTGGAAAGGCACAGCATGATTGCCGAATGTTTGCAAATCCGCCCTAGAGCTGCATATCTTTCTTGAGCATGCATCCCGACCACGCTTCTACGGTCACATCGACTTGAGCCGAAAAGAACTCTTGTAGCTGTTTTGCTTACGCCTGTCTCCCTTTGGCCTTGTTGGGAAAGTTGTTTTAGCTTCCATCTGCCAGCGTTCCGGATTGATCCACCTTTCCCAGCAGCATATGCCTTTGTTTCTGCCTAACGTAAGGCTTCGCAACGACACACTGACACATTGCACTCTCTTTCCATGAATAAACTGGGGAGGAGCCAACTTTGAAAGCTGACTATGTATGTCGCATGCCAAGACCACTGAAAGCAGCAACTTGGCACTCTCAACTTACACGGCGTGATCATTTTAGTTGATTCGTTTAATTTGTTTTGGAGATATGTTTGGCATGGCTTTGGCTTGGACCACCAAGCGGGCTTCCAAGTATGGACAGTGTGTTTGTTTCCCATCTATATTTGTCGGCCTTGGCTATGTTTTCTGATCTTAGATGTGCAAAGATCCATTGTGCATAGCATTGTCATGTTCCTTTGCAAAACGTGTCTCCGGCGGATGGCGAAAACTACTGACAGAGGCCAAAGGATCCAACGCAGCCGCAGTCCGACTTCCAGTCTCGGGCTCGATGGCCAGCATTCAGCCAAAAACACGACACGGAGAAAACACAACACGAAAGGCAGACATTGTTGAACATGACTGCAACGAACACTTTAAAGAACCTGGCGGTTTCTGAGAAGATCAGATAAATGGATTTACAGCATCCAAGCGTTGTGGCGTTATTCACTCGTCAGGCTGGGGCAGGTTCGATCCGTGTCCGACCGAGGCCTTCGCGTCTGTTTGCGCTGACAATTCAGAAACGCGAAGTCGAAGACGACTCACAGGCCTGTGGCACGGTGCGAGGTTGCGGGAGGATTTTTTTTCTTGAGATGGTATGCATGTCAATCTGGGACAAGACGGTGGACAATCATTTAGGCGGGAAGTCATGTCTACCAAGCATTTGTTTTGAGGGGGTTCCAACGCTCCAAATCTATACCCGCTTGATGTGAGCTGACAGGGGGTGATTTGAAGCTACGCTTGACTCGAGTACTTCTGAAGCATTGTATTGGAAAAGGCCCACTACTGATCTGTTAATCCGGGTTCGCTCTTTGGGCCCTTTATGGGACAAAGTGCCCAGTACAAGTGTACAAGCCCTATTTTTGGGGGCCCTTTCGAGAAATCGGCCTTGGCGACAATGAGATTTCCGAATGGAGCGATACAAGTGTGTGTGTGTGTGTGTGTGTCTGTGTGTGTGTGTGTTTTTGTGGTTTTTGGTGTTTTCAGGGTACTGCTTTCTAGGGCTAGTCTAGAGGGAAGTCGACAGGGTCCCCTACTCAAACGTGTACCGCAGAAGCCATGGATGTGCATGTGCTGAAGCGTGAGGCCAACATGGACCCCTACACGGGGGATATGGACTGTTCACCTTTCCTATTGTGTTTGAAAGGATTAAATTTCTATATGGCGGCTTTGTCCTTTGATTCCTGAAAGAACCATTTGGACGGTGAAGCCACTAAGCTTGCAATCATGATTTACCACCCATCTTTTTGTCCCAGTTTGAATCTATACGGTGGGGGTGACAAGTCAAAGTTAGGGTCCCTGGATTGTGGAAAACGCGGTGTCTACAGCTGCAGGCTCCCCTTGGTAGTTGCCATGTTGCCACCGCTTTCGTCGGGGTGTTCAAAGCCAAGAGTGCGAGAGGCTGATGCAATCCCGGCATGAGGGCGACTCTTCTCGCCGTCTCGTGCAGTCTGTCGCACCTTGGCCGCGCTTTTTTTTTCCGGCAACAAGCGCAGCGAGCGCCAGGGAGGAAACGGCCCGTGAAGACTTTCGATAGGTCATGGATGCTTCGGGATTGAATTTCGAGCGTCAGACGGATTCCTTGTAAGGGAGCCATGACCATGAGCCACAGGGTTTTGACCATCGTAGCCATTCCGAGCTAGAGATTTTCACTGTGACTACCGCGAACACGCTCCGTGCATGCGATGCCCTGTGAACATCTGAAAGAGTTTATGCAGGTCCAAGAACATCAGCCGAGATACTTGTCGATGCAGGCATTGCAGGCAGGCCCCAGAAAGAGAACAATGGAAGACGGGGCTCGCTGGGTCGTGGCCATCAGCGGGAATGAAATCATTGCATGGGAATCTCAGGATATACTGTACTCGAGGGCCAAAAGGGGTCAACGTGCACCCCACAAGGGGCATGCACAGGTATTTGGATTGTTACGGAATCATGGTTCTGCCTCGGTTGATTTGCACTGGAACTGAGGGAGAATTGTGCTGATGTCCACGGTAGTTGACAGTAGGAGCATTTGCTGGATGCTCTGAAAGCATTTCCCGCATTTGCTGACTCTGGGTGAATATTTGACAACATCTTAAACAAAAATCACCTTGATCCTTCCGTGTGCCATCGGAAGGAACAAAGCAAAGTTCAAAAAGGCTTGCTACTTCAAGACATGGGGAGTGATCAGAACGTCCTTTCAATGGAATAACCGTATAACCAGTAGGGAAACAACCAAAGAAAACAAGTTTCACCATCAAATCGGAAAAGCTATCAATGGTCATTTTGGGGCCCGGAGTATTAGTCAACCACACATGCCCCATGCCAGAAATTCGAGATTCAAGACCTTCGGGCGCGCTGCACATGTCTTCACACATAGCAGCCTTGTAGGGCTGATTCTACAACCTGTTTTAGTTGGGACAGGTTCATAGGGGCCTCCTCCCAAAGTGTTGTGTGTATATATATATATATATATTTGGTACAGGAAGCATGACGCAGACTCAGATCGTCTTATTTTACGACGCAGAGTCGGAATACGTATCTTTGTTGTGCCCCTGGTTTGTGGGTTGAGAAAACTAGAGCCTCGAACCAAAAGTCAAGAGATGTTGGTTGCTCGCTCCGATCCCAGGTGCGCCACAAGAGCCTTCTGCCGGGTCCGTCGATCTTCGACCCCGCCGTTGTATAGAGTCTGGCCAAAAGACGCCTTTGGTTGAAGCCCCGGGTCGATAAGCTTCCTTTGACTTCCATTTGCTGAGCTGACTTTTCTGTTTGTTTTATAAAGGGCAGCTACAGCTGGATTTTGCTTCCAGGGAAAGGCGGTGGCAGTTTGGTTCTAAGCACTACTCATGATTATATGGCTATGAATTTTAAAGGTTGGAACGTCCTGTAAAGTGGCTGGTGGACAGACATCCCCACCTAAATGATGTCCACCAAAGGGCCCCTAATAAAAGCAATTCACGGCCCCTAATAAAAGCAATTCACGCCCATATGCTGATTGCATTTTTGTAGACTCGGGTTTGATGATGACTCATACGTGAGGTGAGACTAATTCGGTTCCCTCAACACAGTCTAAAGCGGGTATCTGGAACAATCAGGCGACTTGCAAAGGCCGACTGAATTATTAACCAGCCCAACAGGAGCGCCGCTCCTGATTTCAACGGGCGTGTTAATCATCTCAAGGGGACATTCCTGTGCGGTCAGACAACGAGGAGGGGACCAACCAGTCAGAAGACTCTCTAATTTGGGCACCATCACCTCACAGGCTTTGCGTTTATTTTTTGGCGGTCGTGTTTGTTGTCTACATGATAATCTGTGTTCCCTGCCCAATTTGGCCAGATGGATTTTGCCGGCGGCTGACTTTTATAGCCAGGGTAGGGCATGCTGGAGTTCCTTAGCCGGCCCCTAGGACTTGGGCTGAGCGCAGCAAGCGACATCAAGTTATCAAGTTGGCTGTGGGTCAAAACCAATGCTACCATTTTGGGGGTTTTCGGTGCATCACCCATTTTAGAACCTATTTTAGCGGGGATTGGGATGTTCACTGGGGGTTCGGGATTTTGACCCATGGCCAGTTGACAATGTCATGCTTCAACAAAGATGGAAGTTTGTCTTCTCTCAGCAGCTGCCCCGACCCTGAACGTAGCTGAACGTAGCTCCGAGGACGCTTTTCGAAAGAGTGTCACCTCGGTTATCAATTCGTATTGCGGACATTTGGCGTTGTCAAGGCCTTCAATTTGTCGTGGATAACAACGAGGCGCTCTCTAATGAGTGTCGAGCAATACAACTTGACACGGTTGCCGTCTAAAAAGCACCACCTTTCAAGCTTGACTTGCATGCTTCCCTTCGTGTAATCCTTCTGTTCTTCTGTCGAGGGGCTTGGTCCGTGCCCAGAATGTCTGAAGTCGCCGGCATTTGGACATGCCCTCTGAGGGGCTCTGCGAGTCCAACTTGTTGGAAAGGGGAAACACCCAACCCCGGTTTCTTCGGCCGTTGGCGATTTGGTGACAAAAAGAGACCCGCGAGCGCGAGACATTGACCCTGGCGCGGGGGTCACCCGTTTGCAACTGTGCGCCGTTGCAACCACGACGCATAAAGAGGAAACCCAAGTTATTTATGCATGAGCATGTGTGCATCACCAAAAAAGACAGGTCGACGTTCAATAGTTTGCGCATTTTTTCGCGCAAGCTCCGATTTGGGGGGGTTGTTCGCAGTTCTTCCCCGCGCCTGCGTTGAGTTGGCCAAACTAGAGGAGGTGATCCCTTTCCCAGAGGCCCACCGAGAGATTTGGAGTTTGATCCAAAGGGTCCACATGGGACGACCATCTGAGAACGCCTTCCCAAAAAGAGAACGCTGTCCCACTACAGGGGCCAAGTTACCCATGGGCCGAACGGAAGATATGATCAGTGCCCCATTTGAGAGTTCCTCCCAGGGTCCACATTCGATGCTCGACTCATACGAGCCATAGGCCTGAGGCAGATGATCCTTTGGGCCAACATCCCTGTCGAAGGGTCGACGGCTGAACACTCGGTTCTTTTGTAAAAACAGAACATGTGTTTTCTATATGTTTTTTGTTTTTTTTCTATATATATACATAGATACAAGGGCCGAGAGGATGACAGGGGCCCGCGAGAGAACTTGGAATTGATCTTCAACTCGGGTGCCATGTTCGGATCTTCCGCCTTGGAGATGTACCAGCCTGCTTGGTTCTCTTTTTAGACGGCACACGGGAAACCAAACCAGGTTTCTTACCCATGAAGGTCCCTGATTTCAAGCTGGCGATATATGCGTGTCTTTTTTCACGGGACCCACAGAATTGTGGATTCTCCTTTTGGTTCTCCTTTCAGGAGATGACCAAAAGGTAGCCTCAAAAAGACACACCCATGAAGAAATTTGCCCAGCGTTTTGCCAAAAGGCATTCAGCCGTAGGGACTTCTGTCAAACTGCCACCGATTCGGACGTACCCATTTCGCATACTAAGGACCTACGACTCATGATGAAGTTCCTTGATTAGGGCATCCCTCATTTCTGCTCTATGATTTTTTGCGATTTACAAGCTGGAATGTAGGTCAACCCTCCAGAACTTCACCCATTTTAAGGGCAGTTTTGAAGGTGTGGGTGTTGGAGGTATGGAGCCTGTGCGATGACCACTTCTACCATGAAGTGTGTTTCTGGATGACAAGCTTCTATGGAAGCATCCATACCCCCCAGAACCAAACCTGGAACTGGCCAACTCTTGTCGCGCCAGTTCGCTAGCAGCGTGGACGCCCAGATGCGCCTGTGAAACTTTGAACCTACTTCTTGCATGGTTTGAACTTCACCTGGAGTTCTTGCATGTGTTTGGCGAGTATTGTGTTTTGGTGATTTAGGGCAAATGTAGAGAACCCATGCCTCGGGGGGGGAAATGTACAGAACCCATGCCTCGGGTGTTGACAAAATGGGAGCAATGAGGCCAGTGCTTCCAAGTGCAAGACGCGCTTCGCATCCAAGAGAGACAAGGAATCTATGAGTCTGATGCGTGTTCGCTCGGCTGATGTGTTGCTTTTCGGGAATACGCCATGTAAATTAGCCAACCACTGGGGAACATCAAGCAGAAGGGGCGCCGAGTAGGTTTGCGGGTTTCAAGTTGCCACACATGATGTGTCGTCCTGTTCCAAGTAATTTGAGCGCGCGTCCTCGGTGGGACTCGGTTGGACCATGTGGCATCACACAGGTTTTCCAGTTATATATATGGGTTTGTCTTTTTTTGGTGTGTTGAGTTGCTTCAAAAGGCAGAAGGTGGGACCTCCCCGAATCATACCCCCGAATCATACCCCCGAATCATACCCCGAATCATACCCCCGAATCATACCCCTTAAAACGTATGCTGCAAGATGCTAATGTTCTTCTACCGTTTTGTGTTGTTCACTGTCTCCACAACAACCACCACCAGCGCTACCCAATACTACCACTACCACTACTACTACTACTACTACTACTGCTACTACTACTACTACTACTACTACTCCAATGACTACTACTACTGCTACTACCACCACTACCTCTACTACTACTGCTACTACCGCGACTACGAGTATTACTACCACTACCACCGCTACCACCGCTGCTACTACTACTCTACTGCTACCCGTACTACTAACTACTACGACTACAACCTTGACTACTACTACTACTACGATACTACCTTTATTACTACTACTACTACTATTACTACTACTACTACTACTGCTGCTGCTACTACTACTACTTCTACTACTACTATTGCTGCTTCTGGTCTGTAATCAGTGCCGTTTTGCACCTAGCCGAATCATACCCGCGAATCATACCCGAATCATACCCGGACAATGAGCTTCCCCTGCCAAGGCTAGTGCCAAGTCGTTTTCACAGCGTCCGCACCACTACAGCCGCTGCTGCTTATGCCACAGCTGCTACCACTACTTCTGTACTACCACTACTACTGCTACTACTACTACTACTACTACTACTACTACCACAGCTACTACGAGTTTGCAATCAGTCCCGTTTTGCACCTAGCCGAATCATACCCGCGAATCATACCCGAATCATACCCGCGCAATGAACTTGCCTTGCCAAGGCCAGCGCCAAGTCTTTTCAAAGCTTCCGCGCCACTACAGTCGCTGCTTCTACTCTTACTACTACTACTACTACTACTACTACTACTACGACTACTAGTACTACT